CACTAACATTTTCAAGAAGCCTTTTTTTTTTTTTTTTTACTTTTGTTAAAAAAGGGGGCATAGGGTTTATTTATTTCACCACTATGCATTTGCACCTCCGTAACCATGGCCTTTTCAGTTTATTCTTTAAAAAAAAGAAAGAAAAAGAACACCCACAGGAAGTGTTTAAAGCTCCTAATTTCATTTTATTTAATGCCAAAGATAAAAAATAGGTAAAAAGAGCAATGTGTTATTTTAGCAGCTATAAACAAAAGCAGAGTGTAGGTGATATTCCAGTAAAAAGTAACTTAAAAAAATGTAATGAAAAGTGAGATTTGAGAATCTCACAGTCTTCATTAAAACACCTTGCTTTAATACTACACAAATTATCACCTTTAAAAAAGTTTAAAAAGCAAGATTAAACAGCACTGTTGCAACTAAAGCAGTTTAAAAAAAAACTTTGTAACTGAGGAAACAGTAAACTGGTATAGTAAATAGAGTGATCTGTAGGGGTGTTACCATAACTTTGCAAGCTACAAAAAAGGATGACACCTAGTTTAACTAAAAGTTTGAGAAATGCAAAAAAAAAAAACCCCAAACCCTAAAAAGCCTTGCAGGTTTCAAGCATTTTTTGTAATTGTGAAATATTATGATGTGGATTAGAATTAGTTTTGAAAGTCAGCTGAACAATAAAGTAACATTTTGACATTTTTTTCAGCTGTGTTGCTTTTGTACCATCACCTAGTATCACAAGGCCTGAGAGTTACCACGGCTTAAACTACTTTGAAAAACACATACAAAGATACTGCAAAGTTGCAATGTATTGGCACACTTCTGCCAGATAAAAGTTAAGTAAAAGGCCTCTTCAGAGAGCCACACCAATGCCACACAGCCCCAGAATTAGGATATGTTGGTGTGACAAAAAAAGTTACCCTCCCACCTCGCCTAAAGATGCTCAAAGCTGCACAGTCTGCCAATGTAACCCTTTCATACAGGTTAGTAGGGATATCATCTCACCCAGAACACAAAAACACCATACTACATGAGGTATTATGCCACCAACTTTGAAGAACTGGTTACCATCTATCAGCTCAAAATCAATTTTTAATAAAGTGCCTAAATATACATTTACACAGACCATAGTGGTTCCAAAGAATCCTTTACAGTTGTAAGTATATATATCTATATATACACACACACAATATATATATATATATATATATACATATATATATACATACACACACACGCATATATATATATTATATGTGTGTTTTCTCCAAATTGTCTATATGTGTTTACGTAAGACACCAGTCTGGACTACAGCTATAATTTTAAAGCGTAATATTGAGCCAATGTATTGGTTTATCATGCAAGTTTTCTCTAACATTACATTGACCTGTAATATGGAACACAATGTAGTGGGTGTGCTCATTAAACACGTCAGAATAAAAATAATTACTGTGCATGTGCAGGTCTGATTTTCAAATGTTAGTAATAACCATTTCATTTCTAAAAAAAACAAAACAAAATCTTCCAAAAGGATCTTCTCTGCATCAAATAGCAGTCTGAATATTGTCACAAGAAGAATGAACAGCTGACTAAAAAAAGTACCCAAAACTGCTACAACTGGTAAAACAAATTCCCCTCCCCCTCTCCGAAATGATAACCTGTATTTTTCCCCCCAGGGATGGAACCTTATAACTGATCACCATCTTGCTCAGAACTGTTTATGACCACGTTATAAGCACCCAAGCATAAGGATTTATACAAGCAGCGGTGTTGCCAGCAAACTGTAAAAAGGAGCACGAAAACATCACTATAAGACTCAACTATTTCTAGTAACCGACACTTTATTGGTTAAAAAATCTGCCTGCTAAAGCAGAAGCTTGATCTAAACAAGTGACTTTATAAAGAGCTCTCCGAAGTAGGTGAAAAGGGCAGGGTGTATGCCTATTATGTGAAAACCTAATTGCTTCCATTTCAACCAGTTTATATTTTCATTTTCAGAGAACTGAATCAGGTTAGTTTCAAGCACACGTAATAAGGAAATTACAGGTTTCCTCCGCCCACATTTGGGCTGTCACTGATATGCCTGAAGGCAATCCTGGCAGAACCTCAGTCACTTCTGTCATTGTACCACACTGTACCTACCACTACCTGGAAATATGATGTAAGTGATAGTAACAATAGCAACAGCACTAAGGGTAACTGATAAGAAAACTCAAAGTCCACCTGCGCTATCTGCAAATTAAAAAAAAAACAACAACAAAAAACCTCAGCGCTCCATCCACCCTGCCCCCAAGCAGTTTAAAAAACAAAAAAAGGAGTGCTGAAAAGCTATGGATCTTTTAAAAAGGCAGTGGCATATTGTTGGTATATCCACCAGAGAATTAAGTTATCAAAATTTCCACATTATGTAATCAGTGAATAAATGCAGCTTCGTAATCTTACAACCAATCACATGAACTATGGTCAACTTTGCCTTAAAAAAAAAAAAAAAAAAAAAAAAAAAAGAAAAAAAAAGGACAACAAACCCAGAAATCCCTAACTCTAACAGTGCCCCTCTGATACCGCTCAACTTCCTACTATGAAGGCAACTTCCTTTGAGAAACAGGGTGGAATTGGACTTAGAATCTGGCAAATTCACTATTGCAACAAGAGAACAGATGTTTTTAAGTGAAACCCCTTTCACTTTCTAATGTTCACCTGCCTTGGGGCTGGCATACTGACATCCCCATAGTCCATCAACTATGGTTTCCCCACTACCGTTTCATATCAAACCTGCATGCGTCCAGCTCAACTGAGTAAGGGCCAAGAATAAGGAATCACAGACAGTAAGGCAATCTTTACAATGTCAGAATGTGTATTTGGCATTCAAAAAAGAAACAAGTGCATACAAATACAGCTAGAAGCATTTCTGGTTTGCCAAGTGCTCTCTAAAAAAAGCAGCGCAAGTCACAGCCTACGTTGAACAGTAACTGTCACCAGGGAAGCACAACAAATAGTAGCTATAACAAAAAGAAGAAATGCCTTTATAAGTACATACCTTTTGTCTTCAAAAAATATAGAAACACAATGTATTCAAAAAAATCAAAATTATACAGCCATGTTTTATGAAGTCTACATTTCCCTTGTCTCGGAGATATATTTATATATATATATTTATATATTTATAGATATATACACAATTCAAGCAGTTTTAGTTAACGGTGCTGTTGGATCGCGACACTGGAAAAAGTCATGATTCTCTCTCTTTTTTCACTTTCACATCTCCAGCAAGAATAGTTGCAATCTCGCCTTGCATGAAGGCCCAAGGGACATTGGAGCCCACCAGAGGGCATTTTTCCCCACTGGGACAATACACCTCCCCGCTAGCTCCTTGCTGTTTGATGCTTTGTCTGGAGCAAGGGAAGCAGAACTTATGAGAAGGAACTGAGGGGCACTGCACAAAATGGGTGTCTTCCAGGCGCTCGTGGCATAGGGTGCAGCACAAGGGGACGCTGGCTGCTAGAGATGAGTCCGGAAGGCTGGCAGGATGCACAGGCTCCAACCCCCCAGCAGTGTTTGCCCCCTGACTTGACACCTCCCTGCTGGGACCCAGCCTTCTTTGGTTCATAGAGGACGGAGAGGGTGGGCTGCTGCTATTCCGCCTGGTGGTGGAGTGAACTTGATTGGCATCTTTGGAGGCGTGGTTGCCCCCTGCGTTGTCTGCTACTAAAATGAGTGCAGCCATAGGGGACTGGCCATTCTGGCCCGTCTCCGGCGACGTGGTCCGGTTGGAATGAGGGGAGGCAGTTGGAGGTGGAGGGGACATGAAAGGTGTTGCTGTCATGGGCATTTTCATCCCTTCTGATGAGGCTGGCAACCACGGCTGTGATTCTCCATTGATCTTAGGGGGTCCAGCTTCACCTTCTGGTTCTGGCGAAGGCTTCCTTTTCCTCGCCGCCCGAGCCCCTGGAAACGCAAAGGAACGGGGAGGAGAAAGGTGTAAAGAAAGAACAATAATAAGCAAACAGTTTAATACAGACAGCTATAAGGGAGCCAGTTACATGAATCCTGGAGGGTGAAAAGGCACTCCTGCTTTAAATGTACATGCAGCACTGTTGCCCACGTGCATAGGGATAGGAGATGATGGAGGGCAATGGCACTTGCCTTCAATGTTTCATTTAACCAAGGTGTGCCTGTGTAAATTCTAACCAACACGTGTGCATGCTCGCACGGAAACCCCAGCTGCACACACACACGCACTCAGCAAAAAAAAAAAAAAAAAAAAAGAGCGAGAACATGATCTGCAACACATGGCAGCTGTTGATTCAGTTCAGGAAAAAAAAATAATGTCTGCTCACAGGCTAAAGGTGATTGGTGCCTTTCCCGCATGCATCAGCACCCATGGCAAGACCAGCCTGGAGGAGGAAAGCCCTCATCAGTGTCTGTCACCCTGACCTGACTCATAGTGCTGTGTTATGCTGCTTCAGCACAATGACACGTTGCAGCGGTGCTGCGCTGAGCACCAGGAAGTCCGGGTGCAGAAGTTGCAGTTTTGCAACTCTCCCTCTCCATTTGCAAAGGGGGTGTTTTCTCTTCCAAGGCAGGGCAGATTTTTAATGTACAGACTAAGCAACATAGGTATACCTAGCTAAGCTGGTGCTAATTATACACACACACACACACACACACACACACACTTTGGTATTACCTATCTAGATATATATCTAGATAATAAGCAACCATTAAACTGCAGCTGGTTGCTTATTACCTAGAGAGAGATAGATAGATAGATAGATAGATAGATAGATAGATAACAAGCAAGCAGATAATTGCTGCTGGCTGCTTATCATCTTAACAGACACACCTAAATATCTAGCTAGCTCACTTCATCGGGTGCTGTTTTCTCTCCCCAAGACAGGGGGTGTATATTATACACCCCCCAATGTGTGTGTACACACAACCAATGTGTACCAGGGGTTCTATGCCGGTTCTACCTGTGTGTGTAATATGCACGCACCTCCCAATGTGTAGGGAGTGTGTATGTGTTGGAAGGGCATGTGTGTGTGTGTGTGTAAATGTATGTGTGGGGGCTTATACATATATGGGGGGTGTATACATATGTGCAGGGGCTGTATACACAACCAGTGTGTGTGTGTGTGTGTGTGTGGCAGGGGGTTACATGCTGGGTCTATCTGTGTGTGTGTGTGTGTGTGTGTGTGTGAACAGAACCCAATGTGTATGGAATGTTACATCCTGGGTATAGATAGACAGATGTGTGTGAGAGAATGTAACATACACACATCTCCCAAGGTGTATGGAATGTAATATACTGAGTATACATGTGTGTGCGTGTGAAGATGTGGGCAAATGGGTATGTATATGTATGTCTATACACATGGGGGCTGTCCACACACGGATGGGGGGGGGGGGGTAC